CATCAATCTCAATAACTACTAATAATTTATAAGCGTTCTATAATTGTTAAGAGCGCTGGAAGTAAAAGTTTTTTTGTATTCAGGTGTGCAAAAATAACCATTTTTTCTTTTACAGGTAAAATTGGCCAAAAAAGAGATTTAACTCACAATTTAAAGTTAAAAATTATTAAATGCCCAGGAGAAAGATGCAACACTATAGCAATTGCAAAATTGAGGTGTGACCATTGGATAAGAAATACTCAATGGTGTAGCAGGGTCAAAAAAAAACAGGTTGAGAAGAAAAGATATCAACTGTATAAGACTTTAGTAATTAAGGTGAAGGAATAGGTTTGAAACCACCAGGAACCCTTTAGTCTCCAGTGCCAGCACAAGTACAATATGTCAGGTTTTGAGTCTTTGCTAAGTTAAAGTCCGGAAAAATGATCCCCAAACAAGACGAAACACAAGCTGAAGTGTTGTACAACACAGTCCGGAAAAATGACCCCCAAACAAGACAAAAACACAAGCTGTTAAGACCGGTTTTTAAAAGTCTTTATAAACATAGGTAGGTTGAGACTGGCTCTTGAAGGACCACCATCACATCCTCTCGTACCACTGTTTGAAGAATTTGTCTCCAGAATCTGGCAGTAAGTTTTGGGAGTTCATTTTAAGTTTCTCTTTTACTCTGAAAGGTCAGTCTTGCTCATTGTTAGTAGCAGCTCACACCACGACTCCCTCGTCACCGTTGCTGTCATCTGACTTGAACTGGTGCTGGTACCTCAAGAGTCACTTGCTGTCATCTGACTTGAACTGGGGCTGGTACCTCAAGAGTCACTCTTAACCTATCTATATCCTATCCATAAAACTTTTAAAAAATCAGTCTTCATTTGTTTATGACACTTCAACTTGTGATTATGTGATATGGTTTGTAATTGGTAAAATGTACTTGGAATTTTAGTTTTTTTATCAGATATATACATGCGTAATAATTATGCTATGGAGACAGATCAGCCTCAAAAAAAACATTTACAAAACAAAATTCATAAATGCACAGTACAATTTACATTTACCAAATCCGAGTCGTAAATTCAAAACACAATTCATAAATACACAAATACAAGCATAAATATTTCCCCAAATGCTCACACAAATGCATCTTACCTAAATATGTATATATCAAGTTCTTGAATTAATTTCCATCACACATTTATGAATGATGCCACATGTATTTTGTATGTATTCTTATTCTGCCTAATGTCAGAAGTTGCACTTTAATGAATGAAAACCAGCCATTAAAATGAAAATGTCATGTAAAATTACTTAATTACAAACAAAATTTACCAGTTCCATCATTCTCAGCTCCAGATATTCCCATGAGCTTCTCCCAGGCAGACGAGCCACAGGACGCTTGGGGTGAACACTCACCTGACATTCAAGGTAAAAAAGCATTCATTAGTATTTGGTAAAAGAAATCAAAAGAACAATTACTGCACACACGAGACAGCCTCACACCAGGTAATTCAGCATTTTCTGTACAATCCATCAGAAAATGCATTTTCTGTGCCGAGACCTTCAAGTTTCAAGCAAGAAAGAACACCACGTAAGTTGTATGTCTCACTTTTGGTAAATACTGTAGCATTTCATCTAGGTGTACTATAGAAAATGTGTTTGTTTAAAGCAAGAATGTAAAGCTGAATAAACTAAAATACAAAGCAAGAGAGCACAATTCAGTTGCAGCAGCAGAATGAGTACCTTTTGTAATGTCAATTAAGCTCATTTAAGAGAGAGCTTCTTTCATGCAGACCACCAGCTGGAAACTTGGGAAGAACACACATCTACCACTCAAGGTAAAAAGCATTAATTAGTATATGGAGGAAATCAAAAACACATTCATTGCCAATGAGTCACAGCCTAACACAAGATAATACAACATTTTTTCTGAATAATTAGAGAACACATTCTCTGTCCTGAGACTCTCTCAAGACCAAAGACCATCAACCACACATCAAGGAAGAATGCAGAGTAAGTAAAACTAAAAATAAAAACATCTGTCAATTTTAGTCATTACTGGGTAGAGAACACATTCTCTGTCCGGAGACTCTCTCAAGACCAAAGACCATCAACCACACATCAAGGAAGAATGCAGAGTAAGTTAAATAAATAAAAACATCTGTCAATTTCAGTCATTACTGGGTATCACTTAAGAGCCCTTGAGCCAGATTTACTAAACAGGCCAAATTAGCATTAGAGCGCAACTCCATAAAAGCGCAGATGGGAGAGAAAATTCTGCGTGTGATTTACTGACATTGCACACATTAAAGAACAGACGCAGCCAGATCATTTCCACAATGACCAGTGCAATCTACCAAGAGCAGCGCAAATTAGCGCCTGCTTTAAGACATGCCTTTTTTGGGCATTAAAAATGGAACAAATACCAATAATTTGACGAGCACAAATGTTATTAAATCGCTTTGCGTGATTAATTTGAATACTCTCCTCCCATAAATTTAGCATCTGAAAGAAAAACTCCTACAAATGCATATTCAATAAGGTTAGACGCAAAAACAACTGTGTCCACGCCTTTTCAGCACTAATTCTTTACTGCACCTCTTTAGTAAATCCTGACAGTACTATTTTAACGCCAAAAGACGGTTTGTGCTGGCGCAAGCTGTTAGTAAATCTAGCCCATAGTGTATCAGTTTCATGCACTGTCATGGTAGCAAATGCAACTTACCAGCTTCACCTTTCTCATCTGCAGTTGTTCCAGTGAGCTTGTCCAATGAAAATGAGCAAGAGGATGCTTGGGGTGAACACCCATCTAACTTTCAAGGTAAAAGAACATTCATAAACACATACACTGCAAATTAATATCACTAGGTAACATTACATTTTCTGTACAATCCATCAGAGGACACAATCGCTGAACTGAGACCCTCAAGTACCCACCAGGCAAGAACAAAAAGTAAGTAATTTGTATTTTTTTAATGGGCAGTTGCAGAGTGAATTATTATTTATTAATATATTATTTATGGATTATCCCACTTATACCAATGTCAATTGTCAGCATTAACAAGTTAAAACTGTCATTGATGTAATCAAACTGGATGCAAAAACAAAAAAAAGCTAAATCAAACTGGACAGATAAATATGATGGTTAGTTACAGCCATTATCTCCACACCACCAGAAGTCGGCTATTTTTGATTTAGTCTAACTCGTGTCACCCGAAATACAACAACACAGGGGCATGTGCCAATTTCCACTAATAATTACTAGACCAATTAAATTCTTCAGACCAATGAAATACTTTCAAAACTTTATTTTTAAAACTTAAATGTGATCATACATTAATGCTTACTGCTGCTATTCAAGAACAATTAAAGTCCTGCCTTAATTTAGTCTTCCACATATTCAGTAACTTAAGGTGACAAATTAATTTGGTAATACTTTACAATGAGTATACAGTAAAAGTATTTAAAATCATTAGCAAACTATTAGTTTTTATTTAATTAAAGGGGACCTATTATGCAAAAATCACCTTTATAAGATGTTTGAATACAGCTGTGTGGCCGCGGTGTGTGAAAACAACCAGCCTATAATGCTAAAAATCCACACAACCTTGTTTTTTTGTTGTTTTTTTTTAATTCAGTTTTATTTTCCCTAAATTTAGTTTTGTGGTTTTTACTTTTCTGGATCCTGTGATTTACAGTTTAATCCAGTTTAATCATGGAAACTGCGTGCAATCAAATGGATATAGTTAAAAGCTTTTAAACATTAAAGGGGTCATATGATGCGATTTCAAGTTTTCCT